ACATCACAGCTGTCATGTTAACCCTTTGTTACACAACATACAACCAACATGCGTCAAAAGACCAGAATTAGTTTTAATTGTAAATATCTTTGCAATAAATTACTTTAATCATTCAGGATTCCAGGTATTCCTCAATTAACCTGTTTTGGATCAACACCAATTCTAATTTTAATTTTTCCTTTCTTACTTTTTGAATAAAAATCATGTTTGTATCACTACACTTCTAAGGCACAACATGGGTCTTTTCCTATGTTATTTCATGCATGGCTGAGTGTTTCTTTACTATACATTTTCAAATCTATTTCTTTAGTCATTAATATTCAAAGTATTAATTAAATACCTTCTTTTTGATTGCCACGAATCATTATTTTCATTCTCCCGTTCTCAATTGATGAACTAAAATAGTGTATGCCAAGTGTGATAAAAAAGAAAAAAGAAAAAAATACATACTATAATAACAATTTTGTTAAAAATAATAATTTTAGCAGAGATTTGGACCAAGCATGTATGATGTAGTAATACAAAAACTATTTTAGTTCACAGTGTGACATTAGCTAGTCATGTTAGCTTGTAATATATAGAGCAGAGCTAACTAGCAAGTTAGCCAAACGTTAGCGGTTAGCCGTTTATGCTATGCTAGCTGTTGGCTACTGAACATTAACAAACTAGATTCCGCTGTAAGAAAGCTGTGAAACTTTACAATAAACGTGGCGACAACACTGTGACACCCCGCTGCATGTTTATGTGTAATTCTCCCGTGTTGGAGACGAGAGGGTGGCGGCAGCACTGCAATAAGCTGTAAGCTAACGTTAGCAGCCACCTGTTAAGCCCGGTTTCCCGGGCGCAACATCTTGCAAGAAACAGCATCTCAGGGCTTCTTAACATTTAACAACCTATTAATTATGCATACCCACTTAACGGGAAGAAACTCAGCTAACTGGCGATATTAACCATTTTTACCTAAACGAAACTCAAGTCTAACGCTAAGCTCTAAATCAGCACTTAGCGAAAACAGGCTAATGGGGCTAACGCGACTTTAGCACATAAAAGCGATCTTTTCTAATTTCTAATCGACATATCATATGAAAGCTGAGATTCCACAAATTCCATATGTATACGTCTCATCACTGTACGACCAAAACGCGCTGAACTAGAAGAAGAAACATAACCTTAAATAAAAAATAAAACATTCACAAACAGATAAGGATTATCTAAATACATGTTTAACTCCATTACAGTTGCAGGACTCATCAGAGGCCTGTACTACGAAGCTGGATTTCCGCTTAGCCGGCTGACTTCAGGGAAAACTCGGGTTTTCCGGTCCTACGACGCTGGTTCTCTTTTTAGCGGGCTAGATCTCCATGGTAACTTATGCTGAGCGGCTAACCTCCTCGGGAGGAGGTTAGGTTGCAGGCTAAGAGATCAACTCAGTGAAAGCACCGCCTGCTGACCAATCAGAGCTCCGTGTGCGGAGTTTAAAGCTATCAAGTCATATTACAGGATAGAGGAAATACAGAAAAACTGCTGTTGCAGGAAAGACGGCCGGCAAAAATCAACTGACTGTGTGAACGTGAAAATTAATAGAATATCCCCTCCCATCTTCAGAGCAATCTGACTATTATAACATTAGCGTTAAGAAAGCTTACTTAAATATCTGCCACAACATGTAACCGGATCAGAGTAACATTAAGTACAGTCCGCGGCACTGTGAGTGCAGACGTCGATGTGTCCCATTATCATTCATATCATATCACATCATAATGTATCATATAGGCTATTTCCTTATTTGAGTCAGCTTCTTGAGCCGTATCTGGCCGTGCAACACTCACAGTGTCACATACTGTATGCAGAAGTATTATTTTAAGCAACACATTAAGTTGACGAAACACTCGAGTCAAATGTAATTAAAGTCAGATCTACTCGTGTCTTGGACGGGGCAGTGATTTCATAAACCTGTTAATGTACGCATTCAAACGCTTTTTCTTTTACCAGCTGTATTCACCTTGCAGGTGCAGCTATGTGGCCTTTATCCTGAATAAAGTGTTTAAGTCATGGATGTTTAAAGTTTAACTTCTTCATATTTGACATATTAAAGTTCACTTTTCATTCAGGAAGTATGACGCTGCGCTGTCAGTACGCTTGTCCATGTTTGAGATTGGTCGAATGCTCCAAATACCACCCCTTTCATGTGAACGCGCACCTAACTAGATAGGACACGGCTGGCTTGAGCGATCCACTTGATAACCAGCGTCGTAGTACAGCTTAGCGAGAGCGGGTATGTTTTGGATTGGGCCAACCGGCTAACTCAAACATATCCAGGTTAGGTTGAACCAGCTTCGTAGTACAGGCCTCTGATCTCAAGTCTTCTGTTCTTTGTTGACGTCCCGATGCTCATATTTAACGTGTAGATGTAAAACGATCCCGATATTAATTCATAAACTCCTGCAGCAGCAGACATACAGACAGCTGTAGCTCCGCAGGAGACCCGCTCAAACTGACGTGGATATTTCAAATGTGAACGACAGGCGCGGACAGTTCTCATTGGCAGGTTTCTTCGTTGACGTTTATATTAACCAATCAGGAGTGTTATGGACTCATTCCAATCCTGCCTGACTTGCCTGCCGTGTTTTGGCTGAATTCTATTTCAAGTGCCGTAGCTCTGGCTGTCAGCCAGAATCCGAAAACCATACATTATACTGCATGTAAGACTATAAGGCATATTACTGTATATTGACCAATGGAAAAAAAAACACAGCAACATAACACATAAATAAAACAAGGATAACTGTGACTTATTGTTGAGTAAATAACAGTGTGTGTTTTAAACCTTGGTCCTCCCTGCAGAGATTTCTCCACTTTCTATGATTTTTATTTTTTTAAATGATATTGTCAACTGTAGATGTTTACAATATAGTAAGTTAGGAATTTCATGAAAACATTTATTTACTTTTGTTTCAACATTGGATATTTTGTGTTTGTGGTGGATTCAATCGAATATTGAGAAAATTATTTATGTAAAAATGTTTTACTTACATTTTTTTTATTTGACACTTTTTTTTACAGTTTTATGTTTACCTTAAAATTACAAAGAAATACCTGAAAGTCTTATAATCGCAATACACTTTTATATTACGAGTTACATATTTAATTACAGATAATAATTTTTATTTTACGTACATCTGCATGTCTTTTCTGAAAGTGCAAAAATACTGTAAATATTATATAGTAAATTTACTTTAATATACATTTTTTATTTGTTGTTATTGTCAAAATACTTAAAATAATGTTTTGGGTTGTTAATTTATAGTTAATATCTGTAATTTTACAGGGTTTTGCAAGTTATTTAAAAAAACATGATAATTACTATAAAAAATTAGTTATTTCCTGTAAAATTATGATCTTTTTTTACAGTGTATAGAATGTCTCAGTTCAAATCTTCCAGACGGTTTGAGAAGTAGGCTATGCTGCAGGACACACGCCGGTTAGAATAGTCTATTCTCCACATGTGCAATGCTGCACAATTCAAATTTTACAGTAATGGGTTGTGCTATTACAGATGATTTTGAGTACAGTGCTTTACTGTGAAATAATAGTTAAATAATGTGAAATCCAATTTTACTGTAGTTTTATAGATATTGTTGTGATATTACAGGGGCTTTTGATTACAATATTTCTCTGTAATATGATACTCTTAAATGCTGTGAAATCCTTGCAATGTTTACAATGTTGTTGTGATATTACAAAATGTGATGTGATATTACAGAGGATTTGATTGCAGTATTTTATTGTGAAATAATAGTTAAATGCTGTGAAATCCAAGGATACAGTCCTTTTTACATGTATTTGTTGGGATATTACAGGGGGCCTTGATTACAATATGTCACTGTAAAATAATACTGTTAAATGTTGTGAAATGCTGGTAAATGTTTACACTGTGCCTTTCACGCAGACAATAAAAGTGAATTTTGAAATGACAAATAGGTTTATGTTTCAAGTTTATTTGCATTAAAAACGTGTGTTTAAACCCTTCTGTTCAAAGTTGATATTTTGTTTCTTAAAAGATTAAATCTTTAAAAACATGCTGTTTGCCATTTTTGATGGAAGAAATTAAAATATAGGTCACTGACGTGGAACTTTAGGCCTGCAATGCTTTAAAAAAAAATGTTTTAGTTGTTTCAATTTTGAAGAGTGAATATGGATGTTAAATTCACAAATTAGTATGAATAATCTTAAACAAGAACAGGATCTTGAGCCATGATGCCTCTTTTTAAAGTACAGAAACATTCAGAATGCATGACGATTCCTTCAAAGGTTTTGTAATAGACCCCTAGTACTCTTAATTTATAAAGTAATAATAATAAATGTGAATTATTGAGCTCATTAGTGGCCTGACTGGCCCTCCTAATTTGGTCTAAAAAAAGTCAATGATGATCATTGTGAAGGGGTGTCCAGCCCATATCAATAATATACCAAACTACAGGCTAATGTGAGATAAAAATCATGTTTTCATGTTATAGTAGGCCTACCTTACATGAACCTGTTTGAAACCTTAATGACCCCATGATGTGATTATTTATATCTTAAAACCTTTAACAACTATATTTAGATGTTCATAAATATCTACATTTATGTATAAATACATGTGTAGCAGTTAGACAGACATAATTAATAGATGATCTCATTATTACCTATTTTATATGTACTAAAAAATTTAAATAAAGTTTACTAAGCCCCTTTTTTTTTAATTGATGAATTAGACAATATGATTTGTGCTTAAAGTCATATACTGTTGTGTCTCAAACGGATAGACTAGGTTATTAATTAATTTGCCTAATAGTTGCTTAAAATGCTACAATAACATTTGCAATTCGTTTTTAATCTGCCATGTACGGTATCAATGTCTCTCAGCCACCGTAGTGTCGTGTCAGGTGGGCGTGTCGTGTAGGGGGCGTGTCGTGTACTTGCTGCGCCTGCAGCTGGACCATATTGGAATAAAACGCAGGTCACTGTCACGAGGTAAACAGAAGCAGCTTCCGCAGTGAACTGAACAGGCAACAGTTTGAGTGAAATCCTCCAAAATGGGGCACTTTACTTTTCTTATTTTTGCGGCTTTATTGTCCGTGTTATCTGCCCAATTTATCCCACCGGTAAGTGACATTTCTGCATAATCATTGTCCTGTTTAACACATGTATTCGACAAGCCTAGATGTGTTATTTAACTCACGTTACTTTGATTTAGGTTTCTACTCTGAAGTCACACAGAAACCTTTTATATTTAATTTTAATGTGTTTTTTGACAGTATACAGAAGACTGTCGGGCAGACATGTATCCACCAAAGGGTCCCACGTAAGTGACTTTAGTCTGTAAAGTCCACCGTTAAACCAGACCTGTTATTGACTGATTTGTTTTGCAACGTTTATCTTGGTATCCGTGAACGCAGCATTATACCTGAAATCTGCTACCTTCACTTGCCTCTTGTAAATCTAAATGTCAAAAATTAAACAGCCGGGATCAAAAGATGCTGCAATTGAAAAGTATTCAACGTGCTGGAGAATGTGGGAGGCATTATTCCAATAAATGATACAAATGTATAAAGTTCCCCATCTCCAATTGCTTTTATTTAGTAGTTAATCCAAAATATAAATATACAATGATATGAGATCTACTGTTTTTAATGAATGCAAAAAGCAATAAATCAACTCATCTGAGAAAATGTGGGGGATTTTTATGATCAATGAATGGCTAAATGATTTAAATGCTTGTTATTTTTAAACTATTTGTTTCCACACTTAGATTAAACCAGGATTCAACTAAAACGGGCCTGTAAGCCTTCAGCTGCTGCATGTTACATGCATTACATTTCAAGAAGCGATAAATAAACCCCGTCTACTCTCTGATGTTGTGAGTTGGATGTAATCAATTGTATCGTCGGGCTTCAGTAGTTTGACAGCTTTCCTTTTTTAATCAGGTTCAACGGAGCCGTCAGCTGGTACACTGTGGACCTCGACTCCCCGCCCAGCAAGAGATGGACAGCTCTAATTACTGACAAGAAAACAGATGTAAGAGCGCTGTCAAGTACTTTATATCACTCTCACAGAAATATCCCTTGTTTTTTTTAACATTTGATCTCTTCTTTAAAGCTGGTCAACATGATTCAGGCCATCAGAGACTTGGCTAATGCTTTTGTTCCGAGTGGGAGGCTGATAGAGCTGGTGGACGTTACGCTGGTGAGTTATTTCTCTCTGAAATGCTTTCCTTAGAATAACTGCCTTCTTTTTATTTTATTGAAGGCTTTATGACTGCAGTGTGTTTTTATGTTCTGCAGCCTATTATGGCGGACACATTCCCAAAGCCTTTTGGTGAGGAAATGAAAGGAATCGCAGAGGTTTCAGGGGTTCCTCTTGGTAAGAAAACACACGTTCATCCTATTAAATCACTGCTTTTTAAAAAGTTCCATTGACCTCTGCCCTTTTCTTTCTTCATTTTTAAAATATAGGTGAAGTTGTCTTGTTCAACATCTTCTATGAGGTGTTCACTGTGTGCACATCAGTTGTAGCAGAAGACAAAAATGGTGGGTCATTAAGAGAAATTGATGATTTAACAACTTTTTCCTTATCTTACAAACTACTAGAATAATTATATATTGGTACTGAAATGCTTTTGGGATTTGCACTCCTATAGGGAACCTCATCCATGGCAGAAATCTGGATTTTGGATTATTTATGGGGTAAGTAAGCACTCCCAAATTACACATTTTAAGCTTGATATTCCTGATCTTGTAAAAAGAAGAAAAACAACCTCTCATGAGACGGACTGATTCCTCTTCACAGCTGGGACATGAAAAACAAGTCGTGGATCATTAGTGAGAAGCTGAAGCCTCTGGTGGTCAACCTCGACTTCAAGAGAAATAATCAGACCGTCTTCAAGTCAACAAACTTCGCTGGATATGTTGGGATGCTGACTGGCATCAAGCCTGTAAGTCAATTAGTCTTAGAACTTGAGATTTAAAATGCGTTAAACATTATTAATATCCAACGATATGTTCTGGGTTGGATATACTCCCTGCTCACTGGATGTAAGAAAAATGTTTGCCTTCTCTTTCCCTAGCACTTGTTCACTCTCACTATGAACGAGCGCTTCAGTCTGGATGGAGGATACATTGGTGAGTGATTATCTGTTTTGCATTTAGAGATGAGGTCTCTGTTTTGTTGCTTCTTGTCGTCATCTAAATGTGTTCACATGCAGGAATCCTGGAGTGGATCTTGGGAAAGAGAGATGGGATGTGGATGAGCTTCCTCACTCGCTCAGTTCTGGAAAAGGCCAACAGGTATTCAGACTCGGAAAGAATACCTTTATTCGGCCCACAGAGGGGGAATCCTCTTTTGATACTTAAAGGAACATTGTGGAGTTGTTGGCCACTGTTGTTGCAGAGTGTTATATATGTGTTACTACTAACAGGCCACTAGTGTTAGTATCTTGAGTTCTAGCTGTTTGGTATAACCATTCAACACAATCAAAACAGTATTCTACAGTACGTCTGATGAGAGTAATGATTATAATCGAAGCGGCACAGGGTAACCTTTTTTTAAAACAAACAAAATAAAAAGCTTTAATCCCTTTTTGAGGCAACATTTTTTTTAAATTAGTATTCTATTTTCTATATAAGAGAAAAAGATTCAAGAAGAGTAAAATAAATTGATAAAAATAAGCAAAATTTGACTTCATGATAATACTGACAACATTGCACTTACCATGAATGTAATATTAATGTATTACACTGCAATCTGAGGGCATATTCCCATGTTTAATATTTAATACATGTTCAAAGCTATGGTTTAAAAAGAACTAACCGTTACAGCAGGATTTCTCTGGATGCAGACTTTGAGCATAAATACTGAATATCTCTTCTCTGTGTCGAGTGATGAAGGCTCTGCACCAACATTAAGTGTTTTCCCGTTCTCTCCAGCTACGAGGAAGCCAAAATGCTCCTGGCTCAGACCAAGCTGCTGGCTCCAGCGTACTTCATCCTGGGAGGAAACCAGACGGGCCAGGGCTGCATCATCACCCGCTCCAGGCTGCTCAGCATCGATATCCTGGAGTGAGTACTGGAGCTTACTCTGTGATTGGAGAGCATTTCATGTCAACTATTACAGTATGTCTGCATTCCTGAATAGGGATTTACATTTTGAATGCTTAATCATCGCATATGTTTACATTCAAAATACAGGCAGATGTATCAGACAATATTTAAATGAAAGGAAATGCAGCAGTCATTTTCCATGAATTGTGCCTTTTTATGTCTAGTTTTTTGTGCCAGTGGATCAAAGTTAGTTTTTTCTTGCGCAACTAGGAACTGATGACCGCTTTGGTTTCAGATCATCTGATTAGACTATTTCACAAGTGTTTTTCCTTGTGAAGCTGCATGTCACATGTCGAGTTATTTTTATTTCATTATTGTATTTCAGGATTGACGTGAAGCTGGGCCGTTGGTACGTCTTGGAGACAAACTACGATCACTGGAAGGAGCCTCTGTTCCTGGACGACCGCAGAACTCCTGCCATGAAGTGCATGAACCAGACCACGCAGACAGTGAGTGTTTCAGATCTTTGTACTAGTAGTTCGCCAAATAAATGACATATAAAAGTCCAAGTTTGTCATAAAAATTGGAAATAGGGTAGCCATCCTAGGAAAGCAGGCGACCCAGGTTCATTCTGACCCGCAGCCCATTCCTGTCCATCTTCAGCTGTGCTATCAAACAAAGGAAGACGAATAAAAAAGGGAAATAAATTCCTAGTATAGCTTCCCTTAAAAATATCTGCGTATTTTGCATAGAATGCCATAACACATTTCATTATTATTTTTGTATTGCTCTTGCTCTTATTGTTATTATGTTATGTTATTATGTTGCATTGTTGGAGAAGCCTGTGACATAAGATTTTCAACTGCATAATTACTCTGTAGCTATGTCAGATTGACAATAAAGAACCTTGAACCTTGAACCTTGATTGTGTTTTATTTTACAAAACATGTCATACATTTCCTACAAGAATCAAAATACAGTATGCTATAACATTTTTAGAAAAAGTAATTGTAGTGTATAATAAAAATATCATGCTGTATGCCATAAAATGTCACAATCCTCGTAAAGTCAAAGTATAGTATGATTTATTTATAAAAATAAAAAAAAGTTTCCAGATGATAAAGCTCCATCATGCTAGTCTTGTGATTCAAGCCGCATTCCTGTTTGATCAAAGTCGTGAGACACTTTTTGATCTTTCTTTTGGTTTTCTTAGAATATCACACTGAATACCATGTATGATGTCCTCTCAACCAAACCAGTACTGAACAAGGTGAGTCTTTTAAATAAAGTGTTTCTGTTTATTAATGAAATGCAAACAGAATTGCTTCAGTGTAACTAACTTTTCTTATCGTGTTTCTCAGTTGACGACGTACACAACGCTGATGCAGGTGTCTGAGGGTTCGCTGGAGTCGTACATCCGCAACTGTCCAAACCCCTGCATGCCCTGGTAACACTCGACCCCTGAACCCAGATCAGTTTGTGGATAACTCAGAGGGGAGGCTGTGATGCTCAGCTGATCTCGGGTCACAAGTTGAGGTTGCTCCTTTTTAACTATTGCACAGATCTCAAATCAAATAAACCAAAGTTTGTTGTTACGTTTTTCTGATGATTTAGGAATCCTTAAAGCTTTGATAAAAAGACTTGATCCTTAATTTGTTGCCGTTAGGGGAAATTGATAGAGCGAATCAAACTTGTATAAATGTTTTCCCTCACAGTTTTTACTGTAATTATGTGTTATTTGCAATATGAGTGCATGTGAATCTCAACATGGGCGTAGGGACCCCGGAGATAAACACGTGTTAATTAAATGAATGCAAACTATTGTTTTGTTTGATACCTCGACTGCAGTCCACTCACCAGCTTGTGCCTCCACACCGTGACCCTGATTTAGTCTTATTTTGCACAGGTTGCCAGTTAAAATGCCAAGAACTAACTTACAGGTACTGAGACCACTGATACTGACTAATGTACCTCAAAGGTGTCCTTCACTGTGTATTCTTTTTTTTTTAAAGATGGTTAATAAAATGATTCTGAAATTTAAGTTTCTGGTGTTTTTAAACTTGTGAGCTTGATATATTATTTTCAATAGGGCTGCATTCAATTCATATTTTCATTGACATCTTATGAATATTTCCCCCATTAATCAATATATCGCTTTGTCCATAAAATGAGAAACACTTCCCAAAATGTCCTAGAGGACGCAAGGATGACTTCAGATGTTCAAAGCCCAGAAAGTATTATATTAGGATTACTATCTTCTAGGAACAGAAATGCAACAAATTGTTACATTTTAGAAGCTGGATCTTTGCTTTTTGACAAATGATTAATAGATAATTGAAATTGTGGCAGACATTTTCACAAAATGTATTCAATACACACACCATTCTTTAAAGTTCCAGCATTTTATTATTTCAAACTTATTACTTTAGTCAACATTTTAATTACATGGAAATCAATGGAGGAAAAACATTAACAGAACGGTATATAAAGATGTGTTAACAGGGATAAAATGTAAATCTAAGCTTTGAGCTCTGACAAAGGAAAAAGTGTTCCAAGCTAGAGAAAGGAATCTCTCTGATCAGCCGGGCTACAACTGAACTTCAATCCTACTGTCATCTCTGTATCATTAGGAGTCAAGTGCAGAAGGACGAGCCGTGTAACAATAAGGCCAAGACAAATAAAACACTTACAAAAAAAAAATCACAATTCATGTTGAATCCCAGAACCAAGGAGACTAAGGCGAATCTGAACAGGAGTTTAAGGACTATAAAGATTCAGACAGAGGCTTAACTGTCAATCATCAGCAGCATAAAGACCACCCCTCCCCAGATCACCCACAAATCACAATAAACATTCAGGAATAAAATAAACTAAGTGTTGATTATGTGTAGTTTTATCCGTTGTGTGTCAAGAGTCACAGCTAACTTGTAACAGATATTTTTGAGCCTTTGCTCCTTAAAACTAACAGATAGAGAATCAACAACCGTACATCCAGAACAGATTGAGGGTGCAAGCATAGTGTTGCTAAAAAAAAAACAGTAGATTTGGAGACATCTGAAAAAATCTTTACACGCTCTGGGCACCGACAGTGTCTGAAAAACAAGAGAAAACATAATTGACTCTCACAGGGTTTCACTCATTATGTACAAACACACATTCCTGCATGGATGTACACATGGCAACAAGGAAACAGTGTGTTCAACTCAACCAACTCAGCTTTAATGCTTACCTGGTTCCTTCAGGGCCTGCGGGTTTCCCACCAGCCCCGTCAGCGATTCAGTGTTCCCGTTGAGGATCTCTACTGACAGCCTGTTATTCTGCTGCTCCTCCACTATCCTCTTCTGCAGTTCCTCCTGACGGGACAGCACACAGTGTATCATGAGACAAAGCGGTTCCACAGTGGATTATACACCTTTACTTATCAGTCACTTCATGAAAACGTTCAGTGAGTGTTTAACTGGATGTGTCAGCTGTTACACACCTCACACATGACAGACAGCTGCAGTGGCAAGTCGTCCACCTTCACAAAGTCTTCCTCGTCAGATTTCTGACTCGTGTTACCGGAGCCCATCTCCTGCACCAATGAAAGGTAGAAGATCAGATCACAACAGCACCGATAAAGGGCGTTCAGTTTGTTATTAGAAAGTAATGATGCAGTTATTGCAGAGATAAATCGGATAATGTGATAAATATAAATATCCTGAGTTCTATTTTTTTAAGCTTGGACTTACATCCACGTTGATCATGACGGGAGAGTCTGAGTCCGGGCTGCTTGTGGTGTGGGTCTCCTTGGGGTCCTGGTCCTGGTCCTGGTCCTGGTCCTGGTGATGGGAGACTTCATCAGATGGTTCTTCAGAGGCAACAGCTGCTCCTCCTCCTCCCCTCTCCTCCTCAGCACTCTGACACTCCTTCATGTCACGGTGCTCTGCAGTCACAGCTGCTGAGTTGTTCATTTCTGCAAAACAATGAAAATCTGATCTAATTAATGGCCTAAAAAAAGCAGAGTCTAAAACTACAAAGTCTCTCTCAGACCGAGCCAGCTTGACTGTGTATTAGCTTGAACGACGTTTCCACTGTAAAGCGCCTCACCGTCATGGGTCTCTGAACTCCTGTGCTCAGCTCTGCTCTCGTGGGTTTGGCTGAGCATCGTCTCCTGAAGCATCAAACAATAACAGGCTCAGATGAATAATGAATACGTTTAATAATGAGAGATATTTTATATAAAAACTATAACTTAATGACTAACTGTATCACTGACCTCCTGCTCCACCTGTCCATCAGCAGAAGCCTGCAACGATGTTTGGACATCCACAGGTCCGGCTTCAAACTCCTCCATTTCCTCCTCCTCGTTCTCATCCTCCCCGCTGCCGTAGTTAGTCAGAGCCTGAGTCTCTGCTTTGGACAGGCCTGGCAGAGTCACAACACAATGGTGGCAAATGTGTGAGATGAATGCAGGTATCCACAGCAATACATCATTAAATTAGACCATATTTAAATGTTATAATCCATAATCCAGTCCTTGTTAGCATTTGATAGCGAGTTATGCTTATTTCCTGCAAAACATTTTTTAACAAAACTACTGATATTACATCCTGATAGAACATTATTGTCAACTTTTCACTGACTGTCATGTATAAACCATTTAAAATTCTTGAGTAGATTTTGTTGTAACTTACTGAACAATGTATCCTGGCATATAAAGGATAAAAACACAAGTAGGGAATAATAACAACATTCAAATATCAGATTTGACTGGATGTTTGGCTTTATCAAAGAGGCCTTTATGATATTGCCACTTACTGATTGACAGACGGATTCCCTGACCGCCCTGCTCATCCTCCTCTTCGTCCTCCCCCTCTGACGCTTCACTGCTCCTGGTGTTCTTCCTCTCCCTCTGCAGGTACAGCTCCTGGAGGCTGGCTGCTCCTTCCTGCTCGGCCTCATCTTGGTCCTGGAGGAACAACAACAGAGACATTATTGTAACACAGATTACTGGGGTTCTAAGTGGTATCGACCTTTTCATTATCGGTGTTTAAATGACTGACCTTGTCTTCATCAGTGTAGGCCGGAGACATTGATTTGTCAGCACCTGCTACTGTATTTTCCTAACGGGTGGAAAACATTAACATAAAGAGTGTAATTCAGTCTCAGTCAAACAAATGCCTGCGCAGCACCGTTTACTTTTTCCTCATTCATACTTCAGGGTTCATACACTTTTTCACCAATGATTTTCAATGACTTTTCCATGACTTCTCCATGACCTTTACCTCATTTTCCATGACCAAAAAAATTACACTTTCTCAGCGGTACCACTGAAAATGGTTTATTTTAACAGGGAACAGGAAAATAAGGTCTGCATATGAAACATGTTGTGTCCATCTAAAAATAATCAAATAGTAGGCTTACTAGCTTCTACAGGCTAAAGCAACTAAAATCTCTCACCAGCAAAATACCTCGTCAGTTAAATGCCATTTTACGTTTCATTACTATACGATACAGTATTTATTATCATTATAGTATTACTATTTCTGCGATTAGATAACATATAAATTATATTTGATGCAACTTTAGTTACATTTCCATGACTTTTCCAGGGCCTGGAATTAGCATTTTGAATTTCCATGACTTTTCCAGGTTTTTAAAGACCGTAAGAACCCTGATACTTATATTATGTGATAAAAACTACGAAGCCTGAATTTATAAAAACGACTTACCTTGAGACTGTTCTTCGCTCTCATTGGTGGCTCAGCCCTCGTCTTATTCTTGTGTTTGGTTGCCAAGGCGATGCTGCTGCTGCTGTCCAAATCCTGCATGAGCCTAAAGAAGGCGAGTTCATTGAAGAGGATCTCGGAGATCTCCACCAGAAGATCTTCGCCACATTCGTTTAGAGTACGCCCCACAAATTTACGGAGCGAGTCCTGGAGGAGAGAGAGGGAGAGAATGTCAGGAGAGCTGTTGATCGTCGTCTCTGCTTAGACTCGTGTCACCTCGAGGAACCGGGTGTTTTGATACCTGCAGTATGCCTCCCAGCTGTCTGTGGAAGAAGCGGACAAACTCTTTGCTTTCATCATTCTGTTGGGTGAGAGTGAGGACCATGCGCCGCACAGATGTCAACAGCTGGAGGGAACACACCTCATCCATGTTCTCCTAATAACAAAACATCGACATAACAGAGTGGTTTAACCCTGTTCAAATTCACAGTGCTGCACCCAGTAACGAAGACATATTCGTTTTACCTTTAAAAAGCTTTTAGCAATTAATTACCAACAAGAATACTTTTCAAATGTGATGATTTAGTTCTTATTTTTCAATTTAAGTGCATTTTCTACTGGTAAGAATGTAACAACAATCCACCCTGCAGCTCTGTGTGTGTTGTCCTACCTTAAGGAAAGGAATGACTTCGGTCATGATGGCTTTGATCTGACGGTCCAGCTGCTGGGTGTCGATCTGAGGGCAGTGCACATCACCAGCTGCTCCTCCTGCACACAAATCATTATATTGAATATTTATGCTAAATTAAACAGCCATTCAAAGGCAATGATTGTGCTGCTACGGGTCTTTGGTTGAGGTGTGCTCAGGAAGGCTATGAGATGAGGTACCTTCCACTGGGGCAGCAAGGGAAGCAGAAGGATGTTCAGCAAGTGAGAGTTCACCTGCACCCGCAGAGCTGCCATTGAAGGGGTTAAACTCAGCTTTAAGCTTCATGCGCTCATACTCCCTAATCCTGGCCAGAGCTTTGTCTAAATGAATCACTGTGTTGCCTATCAGAGCAGAAAAGAAAGGAGAGTGAAAAAAGAGAAAGAAAAGGGATACAAAAGTTCAAAATCAATGAGGCAAGAGAGAGAAGGCAGTAATGGATATGAATGCCTCTCGTACCAGGTTTACACGACAGGATCAAACTTAAGTAAACCAGCTCCTAATCACCGTCACTCCTAATCTGTGTCACTGAAGTTCCCAATCTCATTTCTCAAAGGTAGTTTTCTTTACTTTGAACATGTGTTGTTGATCCTGAGGTGTGAAGTGGTTTATTTAGTTGAAAGG